CACTGCTGTTTTCCACAACTACCTGTTGCTACTTCTGGAGTTCCAAACTAGTAGCCTCCATGAAAATTGTTAAACTTCATTGCTCATAGAAAGAATTATGATATTTCCCCTTGGGTTTTAACTGAATTTAGGGCCCCCACTGTTCAGAAAAATATAAACTAGAGAAATTATAGGAAAACATTCCCATACAGAGATGTATTGAACCCACCAACTACATACCCCAGCTCCTGTGTCAGCACAGGTGGTCAGGTCTAGGTGTATAAAATGATGTTGAAGAAAATAGGGTGTTGTGTCTGGGGTGGGGTGGCACATTTCATCAGTGTTGAAGTGTGGTGGCATGCAATTGAAAGGCAGCAGCTAATAGAGGCGAACTGAGTTACAAGTCTATTTTCTCTTCCCGTCAAAGACATCTAGAAGCTGATACAGTCCACACCGCCAGCCACCACATGGAGTCACTTACACTGCTTTCCGTCCTTGTCTTCTGTCTTTCCACTCTTGCTGCCCTGTCAGGGTCCCTAGAGCTCCAGTTGCCTTTTGAGGTGGAGAAAGTGAAGCAGAAGGAATGTCATCCACATCGTTGCAAAGATGCTTCTAGGCGACTCCACTGATGTTTCCATCTGCATCCAGGCACATAACCTTATCCTGCTGTGGATGAGGCTGGAAACTGAAAGTAATATGAGGGCACAATGTCCAGTGAGTGAGGATCCTGTGAGGGAGTGACCTAAGTGTCCCTCCCCATGCAGTGACAAAGTACATGGTACTAGTATGATGACCAGAATGTTCCAGGCAAAGAAAACAGCAGATGGGAAATTGATTTCATAACAAGAATTTAAAAAACAGGCTGGGATGTAGCTCAAGTGCAAAATAACTGCCCAACATATATGAGACCCTTGGTATACACACACACACACACACACACGAAAATATACACATATAAACACAGACACACACATACACACTCATACACATACACACATTAACATAGACACACACCTATTCATACACATATATATATACACACAAGCATACATACCCACACACATACACACACAGAGACAGACTCACACATATAGACACAGACACACACATAGATTCACTCAGTCAGTTTCTGTCACACATGACGTGTAGTGAGGAAGATAGTAACTAGAATAGATGAGTCTGGGAGATGGGTAATGACTGGATCAGATAGTTCTCTACCCATCACCATCACCATGATGTTTTCTTCTCTTTCTTTCTTCTTTCTTTCCTTCCTTCCTTTCTGCCTTCCTTCCTTCCTTTACTAAGACTTTTAATTGTACAGACATTTTATTTTTAATGATTTGTTTTTATCAATTATTTTTATGTGTAAGTGTCTGTGCACATGTGTGTGGGTGACTGTGGAGGGCCAACAGGAGGCACCAGATCCCCTGAAGCTGGAGTTATAGCTAGGTGGTTGTGAGTCACCAGACAGAGCTGCTGGGAACCAAACTCAAGTCCTCTGGAAGAGCAACAGGCACTCTTAACCTCTGAGTCATCTCTTCAGCTCCGGTAATTACTTTAAAATGAGAGATTCTCCTGTCTTAAATGTTCCTAGGATTTTTAGATTATAGTAGATGATAAATAGGCTATAAGTACACAAGAATTACCTTGCTTTTAATTTTGATTTCATTCTTCATGATGTAATAGACGTCTGTAGACAGCATATAAACTACATTTGTTCATATATGCTTGAATGAGAAACAGATACAGTCATAGCATATCCACAGTAGAATGCTTTCTGTAGGGAGCGCTGGCCTCAGCATATGTGAAGGTTGATGTGTGTGCGGGTGGGTGTGTGCGTGAGTGCGTGTGTGTGTGCGTGTGAAAGTTGGGGGTGGGATTACTAATAGGTAAGAAAAATCATAGTGTGTCAGTACTTACTGACAGCTTACCGTGGATGTATGGAAGTCAAGACAACGGCGTTCATGGATGTAGCTCAGCGTGGTACAGCGCTTGCCTGGGATGCATAAAGCCTGGAGTTCAATCCCTAGCAGGATATTAAACTGAGTGGTGACACCTGCCTGTAATTCGAGCATTTGGAAGATGGTGGCAAGAGAACTGGAAGTTCAAGATCGTTCTTGTCTAAATAACGAGTTCAAGACCAGCCTGGGATCCATGTGGCTGTATCTGCAAAGGGGAAAAGGGGCAGGAGATTTTGCTTAGATTCCTCTAATCACACCTTATCGTTTTTTAATTGTAAGATCAAGAATTTTTCAGAACTCTATATTGTATTATTGCCTAAGGCAGCATTTTTGCTCAGAAAATTGCACTTGAATTCTTATTCAGTAGTTTTTGCTACTTGTCCAACAACTCCCTGAACTAAGTGACTAAGTTCTGAACGACTGAACTAAGCCATTCACAGGAATCGCCACAAATACCTGTCTGTGGTCGCCCCCTAGTGGAGTAGATGAGCTTAACATCGAAAAATCTCCTTGGCTTTCTTGTCCTTTCCTTGCGTCTGTTTCTTTGTATTTTCTCATCCCCTCTTCTGGCCGTCTCTTAGAGTGATTTGTGTGGCTGTTTGATTGACACTTGACTTCTTTCCTGCTCTGTACTGTGCACTGCACAAGGCAAGGGCTTTCTGTTTTCTAGTTTGCCTGATACCATTCTTTAATAAAGACTAGTGTTAGTTACTGAACAGTAGTGGTACATGCCTTTAATGTCTGGAGTCAGGAGATAGAGGTAGGCAGATCTCCCAGAGTTTGAGGCCAGCCTGGTCTACAGAGTGAGTTCCAGGACAGCCAAGACTATACAGAGAAACCCTGTCTTGAAAAACCAGCCATCCAGCTAAAAACACTAGTGCTAGTAAATGAAGGTGTGGGTGTTCCCTTGATTGCTTGCCATTAAAGGAGAAAGTACAAGTTCATGGCAGAGGTAACCGTTAAGCTAGTAGGTTTGGTAAGAAGTGGACAGAAAGAAGATGAAGAAAGCACACGATGTCATGGTAACAGAATGGGGAACCTTAGCTATGCCTGTTTGTCAGATTCTCCCCTGTGACCTTCACTCTAGATAAGAATGCTCCTTTCCCCAGATACACAGAGGGAGAACATGAGGGTCCTGTGACCTCTTTAGGGGAAGGTCAGAAAGTCTTTGGTAGCAAGAAAGGTGGCCAAAGGTTAGGGCAGCCCCTCTGCTTCTGTTAGTTCTTCAAAATGTTCCTATAGCTTCAAATTGTCCATGTGCCAAGGCGCTGCTTTGTTGTAACCTGCCTGAGCCTCATTTCTTGGAATAGCGAGGTTGAGACTGTTTGAGGAAACCCTTCTCAAGTTGTGCTTCTGTGACTTACTAATGTAGAGTTATATTATTACACAATTAAGGCAAAGCATTATACTGATAAGTTCAAGGTTGATTGAACCCAGGGTTTAAAGATGTCGTTCCTGGAAGTCTTCTGACTTTTGGAGGACCTTCACAGCTTCTGCTCTGTTTGGGGAACTTTGATTTGCAGAGTTTCTAGCTCTAGGGGTTATGTGTACTCTGCCAATGAAAGACTCATGTGAAACTGAAGGCAGGAAAGAAAGGAAGGAGGAAGGGGAAGGGAGAGGTAGAGGGGTATGGGGAGATTTTTCTTGCCTCTGTTCTTCCTATTGGTGTCTGCAGCACTTTTCATGTTGCTAACTCCTTCTTGAAACGCACCCCCGGTTTCAACCATGGTTCAGACTCTGGAACAATGAACTTCTTCAGGGGTTCTGTCTTTTTTGACCCAGACAATCCCACCTTTTAAGTTTTGCTAATACCCTCTTTCCCCATCAAAACTGCAGCTCTGAATGTGTTAACTCACATGTCCTGGTCATCTCTGGATCACCTGAGATACCTGTGGAACTAGAAATATCCTCCTCAGGCACACGAGAGTTTGGTCTTCAATTTGTGAAGCTGTGTTGAAGGCTCTGCAGGCTTTAGGGGGTGGAGCCTAGTTGACAGAAGCAGGTCACTAGGGGTGGACCTTTCAGGGTTGGTGCCACCACTCCTGGTTCTGTTCAGTGGTGAGCGCTTTCTGGTTCAGTGTGAACAGCTACTGCCTGTGTTCCCACCCCCACAGGCAGAACCTATTCATCACAACTTCTCTGCCATAAAGAGTGAAATACACCCTGAAACTGTGAGCCCAGATCAGCCTCCCCATCCCTTAAGTTTGATTTCAGCCAGGTGTTTCAGTGTCTGCGATGTGAACATTCTCCCACCAATGGATTTTATGTCTCAGCAACTCAGTCACCTTTGCAATATGTCTCTTGCGAAAATTTCCTCTGGTTGAAAGACCATGACTGCTTCCATTTATCTTGACTCCATATACTCTAATTTCATTTTCCTTCTAAAATATGCTTTCTCTTTTATGCCCGTGAGACTATTTTGCTCCTATACACATTTTCTCATTTTCTCTCAACTCTAGGGGAAATGGCACGTGTCCGTGGTCAGGCTGGCTGCAAACTGGGGTTCTGTTATATAAGGACTGAATTATAGTAGCTTACTAGGTAATAGTAAGTGTTCAATAAATGTCTGTTAAAGCAATGGTCTTATTTAATCATTACAAGGCCAACTGAAGACACCTGGAAAGTTCTGCATTGTATGAATGCAAAGCACAGGGCATCCAAAGTTGCTTTAAACAATGTCTTTTCACACATTATGTTTTCTAAAATAGTGTGTGTAAGGCCCTGGACTTGAGTAACCTTTTCTGTGTATGCCGTTTGCTCAAGCACTGGGTTCCCAGAATAGCAAGTGTTCTCCTCATTTCGAAAGCACTGTACGCTTACACTGCTATTAAACTACGATCAGCGTGTGCTCTAATTATTCTGCTCGTTGCTATTTTGCCCTCTCTGCATCCCACAGAGAAGACTCTCAAAAGACAGCAAATATGCTCGTTGGCAAGAATGTCTTACGTTCCTATGCTCTTCATCTTTAGCATATATTGCTTTAGGATAAACTTAAGCCATTGCACCTTTTAAAATAGTTGTTGATCTATGAATTAAATATTTGAGTGGCTCCAAAGAGTTCAGAGAGGGCGGGGCACAGCTCCCCACTGGTACAGATGTGCAGTCGTCTCCCACATTTGGAGAAGTTGCAGGAGTCTGCAGCACAGCTGGATGCAATGGACGAGTGGCACCCTGGGAAAACCCACCTTCACTGTCATGGTATTTTTCCTGCCAGGTGTGTGGGAGTAGAACTGACTTTAAAGAGAAAAATCAATTGAGTCCATTTTTATTTTCAACCTGCTCTGGATAATAAATGGTTAGCTAATCACTAGTTCTGAAAGAAGGGAAAGAAGGTGGTTTGGTCAAAGGTTATTTGAGTGAAGTAAATATCTAGACCTTTGTTTACTTTCAGCTTAAAGTAACTTCCAATGAGAACACTCACTCACCAAAAACATTGTACTTCCGGGGGTGTATGAGTCATCCTGTGTGACCATGAAGAAAAGGTCGAAGAAATGGCAGCTGGGAAATGGAACCAGGGTGTCACTCTTTCCAAGCTCTGACAGAACAATGTGCAGCCTTTGTTTTGAGGCCCCATGCTGCTTTGTTGGTTTATGGCTTGGGATTGAACAACAGAGACCACCATCATGGGATGGGAGTCCAAGGTGAGGCAGAGGATTCATTCTGTGTGCACAAAGCTTGACAGCATCCTTCTTCTGCAGACCACAGATCATGTCAGGTCTGTTTACCGGCTTAATCTCTCTGGGTTGCAACACTGCCTCTTTTCCTCCACCCTGAGGCTGGGGAGCCAGGAAGATGTAACAGAATCCTGTTGCCAGCCCCAGCCCACTGCAGTGTCTCTCTTTGATTTCCTGACCTGGCTCACAGCATTATAAATAAATCTTTTGTTGAAAATAGCCTTGATTCACCTGTCTGTTCCATCTTTCATGTTGATGACTTCAAAATGAGGGAGGAAGTATTTTAGACACATGTATATCTTTCTCATAAAGGTAATTTGGTGTTGCCAGGCAGTGATGGCACACAGCTTTAATCCCAGCACTCAGGAGGCAGAGGTAGGTAGATTTCTGTGAGTTCATGCTCTAGTACAGCCAGGTCTATACAGAGCCAAAAAGAAAAAAGAAAGAAAAAGGAGAGAGAGAGGGGGGGGGGGAGAGAGAGAATATTAATTTGGTGTTTAACTATGAAAGACCATGGTAGAAAATCTGAGTATGGTGGCTTATGTCTATAGTTCCAGCACTTGAGAAGTGAAGGAAGAAAAATCAGAAGTTCAAGACCATCCCCAGCAGTACAGTGAGCTCAAGGTCAGTCCAAGGTACATAAGACCTTGTCTCAAACTAAAATAGCAATAAAAATACAGTGAACAAAGTCTCCTTGGAAGACAATCACTGCACATCCTCAAGGTTGGCAAATGCAGACAGAATAATAAAATAGAAATCACTGCCATGTTGACCAAGTGCTTGTACTAGACCAGACATTGTTCCAAGCACTTTTTATATATTAACTCTTTGTCCCACAGTCCTATGACATAAGTGTTATTGTTCTGTCTACTCAACAGAGGGTGAGGGAATGAATACAAAATATCAACATCCTGTGAAAGTTTACATGGTAAGTGGAAAATTCACACATAGGCAGGCTGGTACCTGAATCTAGACTCTTAACTTTTACACTATCATAAGTTTTCAAGTCCCCTTAGTTTGATGGATGCTATCCACTATTCTCTGAACTTTCCAAGAATATCTTCTACTTGCTTTCTTTGTATCCACCAGCCCACTTGAGGTCAGTTCCTGCCTGCACTTCTGCTGAGAAGCATTTTGGTGAGAGTCATGAGAGACACTATCAATACAATTCAATTGGAATCTTTTAGACTGAGGTCAATATTCTTCTCTTGCCTGAAATCCCTCTGTGGTGGTACACTAGTGGATCTGTCAAGTTTGGTAGAAGAGGGTTGGCTCCAAATTGTCTATGATAGATGCCTAACAGAGCAAGAAGAAAATGTTCATTCAGCTGATACAATGTGTGTGTCTAAGGACTTCCAAAGCTCAAACCGAAGGAATCTGTTGCACTGAGTAGCCCATGTAGCTAGAAAGAGGAATCAACCCTTAAGTGGAGTCCCTGACTTTTGTGCTTCTTCTCACATTCATCTTCCATCTAGGCTGTGCTTTTGTAGCTTGCTAATGTGGTATTACTCCTTTACTTAAACTGGAGACAGTAGTTCTTTGCTGTATTCATAATAGAAGCTTGTGTATGCATCTGCTTCTAGTGATGCTTCCGGCTTATTTTTTTTTTTGGCTTCATTTTCTCCTAATTCTTACCTTATATCCTATGTTCCTGTGGTGGTTTGAATAGGTCTGTCTCCCCATAGACTCATGTGTTTGAATGCTGGGACCATACAAAGTGGCACTATTAGGAGGTATGGCTTTGTTGGAATAGGTGTGGTCTTGGAGGAAGTGTGTCACTGTGGGGGCTAGCTTTGAGGTCTCCTATGCTCAAGCTACACCCAGTGTGGAACACAGTTTCCTTCTGCTGCTTGTGGATTAAGATGTAACCTTAAAAGTGGAAAAATTTCAATTCCCAGGAAGAACTGGGCTTCTCAGAGGAAGCCAATGACAATGGGTCTTTAGTCAGTGATGACCCTGAATGAGGGAGGATAGTTCCAGAGCTGAGTCAGTTCCAGGGACAACTGACAGGGGAAACTCACAAGGCCAAAGCTGAGCTGGTCTCTGAAATCCTTCAAGGTCTCACCAAATATAATGAAACTAACACAGTGAGCAATCAAAATTGTACTAATGTCACTGCTTTGCTCCTACCAACCATATTAGAGGTTACCTAACCCTTCCAGAAAATTCCCCTAGCCTTGCATAAAAGGCGGCTTGAGAACCCCTCAGATGCAATTTTGATGAATGGTTGACCTCTGCATGCTGGTAATTTCTGCAAAATAAACGCCCATTGCTTTTGCATATTATCTGAGTCTGGGGTCTTCCTTCAGTGACTCTTAGACCCTAACAGCATCCTCACAGACATACCCAGAAATGATGCTTTGTCAGCCATCTAGAACTTCAAATAATGATGACAGCCTTTCCTTGAACAGAGTCTGATTCTGCAAATGATGCTAACATGAGAAAGCACAAGTGGGAAGGTAGTGGTCTGCAGAAAACAGCGCCTGGTTATCTCATTGAGCCTGATGTAGGCTTCAATTTCTCCAAAGACCTACTTTTAATATGGGTTCTTAAATGTGTTAACTTCCCTCCTAGCCCATTGTCCACCAGAGATTGTGGAAAAGGAAGGTAATTAGGACACAGGGGAAGTGGATCTGTTATAATGTTCGTTGGGGCAAATCCAATCTGTATTGTCAGTAAATCAGCAGTTCAGCTCAAAGGAATCAGCAGTGGCAGCTCAGTCCACTCACAAACATTTCACGAATATACCAGCAGTCCAGTTCAGTAGTTTTGGGATTGCAAACACGAATCAGCAGCAGTGGCATGACCTAGCAGGAACTCAGCTGAATCAGCATGAGCCAGCAGGAGCAATTACACCAGGAGACTTTGCAGTACCTCTCTCAATGAACTAAGGTCAGCTAAGACGTGACACCAATGATGCGTTGCAAACCTAGCTATGCAAGCCAGCCCCCGTCGTTGTCCCTCGGGTCCTATTTATGCTCCCTTCAAACATCACGTGTCCTCTACAGGTCTTGCCTCATCACCACATATCTTGCCTTAGCATGTGAATCTGTCTTAGCAAAATTCCATGTGAGTCTGTAGCAGCTGGTATCATTCTGCAAATCAGTCTGAGTCTAAGGAAGCAGCAAGAGGCCATTAGAACACCCCAGAAGTTTTTTTGATGTGTTTATCTCTATGAAGTCACAACAAACAGAGCTCAGCAATGCAGTGCAAGGTGAACCAATACATGTGTGTTGTTAGCAAAGAATCCTTCATCACTAGCCCTTTCATGTGCTTTAGCAAGACATCCTTTCAGCTGTGTCCACTTCAGGAAAACACTCCTTCATGTGTTTGCCCCAGCAAAACACCATCTGACACAACTGACTTTCCAAAGAAACCATCAATTTCCACTTCAACCTGATATCCAGCTTTGCATGGAGTTTTAAATCATATAGAACAATAAATTCTCTTTCTGTTTAAGCCTCTGTGAGCTGCTTTTTTTTTGTGTGTGTGTGTGTCATTCTTATTAAGGAAAAGGATCTCACTGTGTTGCCCAGTCTGACCTGAACTTCTGAGCTCAGACCGTTTTTCCCCGCTTCATCCACAACAGAACCTGGAAATGGAGGCGGCCCCTGCTGCACCCTGAATGGTCATTTGAAGTTGTGAGTCTGGCCCGAGACATTATAACAATAATCTATTTTCTATGTGCTGACCTGGCCTTTCCTGGTTTGCTAGAAGACAAATGTACACACTAGGCAGGGCCAGGCTTTATGATGGTTGCACGTTCTACCCAGCACCTTCTATCCAAAAGCAAATCCAAGGTATTTAAAAGAATGAGTGTAAAACATCCAACAAGTATCTTTAGCTGCAGAAGTGCTTTTACATTTAGGTTTTTATTTTAAGCACTCAGCTTTGTCTTTAGTTTTAACTTTACATTAGGTGATTGAAAACAACATCAAAATTTTATTCTCGCTCAAAAAGTAAACTAGAAAGCTTTTGAAGTTGCAAATGCATTTTCAAGACTTCAATCAGGAGGAAAAAAGGCTGGCAAGATGGCTCAGCAAGTAAAGGTCCCTACTGTCAAGACCGATGACCAGAATTTGATCCCTGAGACTCACGCGGTAGAGGGAGGGAACTGATTCCTGGAGCTTGTACTCATGTGTGCCATGTCCTGTACAGGTGTGTACACGTATTTAAGCACACAAACATGGTAAGTAAAAATGTAATTTAAAGAAATGAGCTGGAGAGGTGGATCAGTGGTTAAAAGCATGTATAGCTGGGGACTGAGCTCAGTTTCCAGTTCCCATGGTAGGTTCCTCCCAACAGCCTGTGTCTCCAGCTTGAGTGAGGTCTGATATAGCTAGCCCCATGGACAGCTGTACTCATGTACACATATCCCTATCCAGACCCATATACATAGACATCATTAAAAATTAAAAAAAATTTTTTAAAAAAGATTTACTTATTATGTATGCAGAGTTCTGTCTGCATGTATGTCTACAGGCCAGAAGAGGGCACCAGATCTCATTACAGATGGTTGTGAGCCACCATATGCTTGCTGGGAATTGA